GTAGTGGTAGGGTGAAATAGTCCCCAGTATCCGGTCGAGAGGATCGAAGGGGAGGCCAGCACCCAGATATGCTAGGTAGTATCCGGTCGAGAGGACCGAAGGGGAGGCCAGCACCCAGATATGCTAGGCGGTATCCGGTCGAGAGGAGCGAAGGGGTAGGTCGGGCACCCAGATATGCCTGACAGTATATGTATGTTATGTGATTGTATGGTATGCGGTACGATGGGGGAACTCACTAAGCTTTGTGCTTACATTTATAGTTTTGGTTTCAGGTACCTCTTCAGCAAAGGGGAAGGAGCGGGCGCGGTAGCAGCACTTCATACACACTCGCATTGATTTTCCGTACTTGAAATATTCTGGGATTGTACTTTGACATGATGCTATTTTATGACTTAGGTTTCCAGACATGATATATTGATTTACGTAATGATATCTTTTATGTGGTTTTCTTGTGAATGCTTTTATGATCAGTTAATTAAAATGAAATTTTTGGACTCGAAATTTGGGATGTTACAATTAAACTTCAAGTAGTATGTATAATAGGGAAATTTATATAGGTTCAAATGTTTCTAACAACTATTGTATGCATGTATGCACCAATGAGAAATGAGGAAATAATAAATCATTAAATAAATCATTTAAGGGTATTATAGTAATCTTTGCATATTTAATTATGGTAGATAATTAGTATATTTATTATCCCTTTAAATATGGGATGTCAAAGTCAAAACCTGTAGAAAAAACCCATCGCCTGCCTTTACACAATCCATCATTTCGTCGGCCTCTACGTCGCATATATCATTGCCGATCGAGTCTGCAACGATTCTTCATTCCTTCCGATTTTCCAACGTCCCTTTTGCTAGAATCGATTTTTTGATTCTTCAAGTTATCAGGTTTGATTATCCATTGAAGGTATGAAATTACAGTGATTCGTGGTCGAAGTATGGTGCTTTTGAAACCCAAAACACCCCATATGATGTTCATGTCTCTGATTCGGATGATTTGCTTCAACCTGAAATCAACATGAGAAGTTTACCTTCATCCGTCCTTCATTCTCGTTCCTGTTATGGTACGTTTACGAAGAAGCATTAGTTTATCCAATGAAATGTCCAAATCGATTCTTTGGCTGCCATTTCAGAAGTTGGGGATGTATTATTGTGATTTATGGAAAAGGTGAGCCTTATTCTCTCATTATTATAATTTCTAGTTTTTTTCCTGTAAATCTAATTGCTTTTTACATGTGTTTCAACTGAGGTTTTCAATCAATTCTTACACTTGTTTTTTTTACATGAATTTTGGCTTGTTTGATGATAATGCCTAACATGTGTTTGCTGAAATGCCTGAAAGAGAATATAAAGAATATAATCATGTAGTATGCATTCTGTCAGAATTACTAGCAATGGGTGTTTTATTTCAGGTTTTTTTTATGTAAATCTAATTGTTTTTTACATTTTTTTCAACTGAGGTTTTCAATCAATTCTTACACTTGTTTTTTACATGAATTTTGGTTTGTTTGATGTAATGTCTAACAAGCGTTTGTTGAAATGTCTGAAAGAGAATATAAAGAACCTAACCATGTGGTATGCATTATGTCAGAATTACTAGGAACACGTGTTTTATATAGTATTTATATTCTTATAGAATGAACAGGTTTTTGCATTTTAATATGGAAAAGAAAGAAAATATGGTAAATGATAGTGTAAGAATTAATTGAAAATCTTTCAGTAAAGCATCATGAGGCAAGGAATACATTCTATGAGCATTCTTTCAAGAGCATTCTCATAGAATATCATTGTTGTAAGAATGGTTTGCTAAATTTTACTATTTTTTCTAATGTACAAAAATTTCAAGATTGTTAAATTGCAAATTGTTGGTTTGTTAAGTTTTATCATCTAGAAATACGATTTCAAGTTGCAAGTAACAAGTTTTTAATTATTTATAGTGGCAATTAAAGTTACAACTAGCAAAAATGTATTCTATGGATTTTGTTAGAATGTATTCTATGTATTCTGCTAGAATGTATTCTATGTATTATGTCATACTGTATGTATTCTGTCAGAATATATAAAGTGATAACATGTTTTTAACCATTTTTAGTTTTTGTTGTAATTGTGATAGGATGGCTGGAAGAATGTGTTGAAGACCTGATAGGAATAACTTGCAGAATGCATAATAGATTGATCACACTCAAAGTTAAAGAATGTTGTTATTTTTTAAGAATTTTATTCATTTTTGTTGATATTCTTTTAGAATATGTATAATTATATTAAAATATATAATACTATTAGTCCGTAAGAATATGTATGTATTTTTATTTAAGTTCGGATATATACGAATATATTAGAATGTTGTTATTCTTCAACTGGGGATTCAAGAATCTGTGATTCTACAATAATATTCTAATAGAATAAAATTATGAAAGAACATCATTATAACAAAAAACATTCTAACAGAATAAAATCGGTTATTTTTACAAATTACGTTAGAATTAAAATTGAATTAATTTAAAAATTAGGAGAATTAACTATCCCTAAAAATCTGAAATTTCATTTTTAAAATATAGTTAATTGTCCAAAGTACCCTTATGTTGAAATTTGTGTGATTATATGGTGCATGTTACCATATTGTAATATCATAGACTCTGAGATCATGAACTTTAATTCTATTCCATCAAGTGGTCCATATTTATGCATACGGGCACAAAATAGTTAGTAAAAACACAATAACCTAATCATATATATATATATATATATATATATATATATATATATATATATATATATATATAAAATAAATCATTTAAATAATTTTTTGAAAAATGACCATATTCTTCGGAATGGGCCGTTCTAAAAACAAATTCAGAGTCATTTTCTGGTGGGCTGGGCATCAGGTTTCCTTCGGAATGGCCATTCCGAAGTATCCGTACTTATTCCAGACCAAATTTTTGAATTTCAAATTCCGAAATATATTCCAAATTCATTCCGGATCTCGAATTTCTGATACCAATTCCGACTCTCCGATACGCCACTCCGACACATCAGTCCGACTCTCCGATTCCGAAACTCATTCCGAACTCAGACTACAAATATGGAAGACGATCACTATGACCCAGCTGTTTTACGGATAAATCCTTTACTCCCACTTAAGTTTTTTGTTTATATTTATATCCTCCATAATGAACTGATAACGTTTCGGAGTTGCAATAGAAGATTCCAATGCATTTGGACCAACTCAAACCTACTTTAGTTGTTTATATAATGTGTTTATTCATCGAAAAGTACTTTTTCGGAACAAAAAAAAAATAAATTCTTGAATTTGAAGAACACCTTCGGAATGAATTGACCACGTGTTCTAGAATTCTTGTTTTGGGAGGTGGTTAGACATTCCGAATGTAGATGGGGATCATTTACTTCTACATTACGTGTTTTGCCACGGATTTATCACAGAACCCCGAAGCAAAGTAGATGAAATGGTTTGAGATTGGGGGTTATGAGCTGTCATTTGGGAAGAAAGAATTTTGTCTTGCCACTGACGTCTGCTTTGGAGATTATTTTCCTGCCTCCGGTTACGACGCTGCCTTCCGTTCCTGTGGGTTTCCTATGTTCGATAGGAATATCTCCGTGAAATTATATGATGTGAAGAATGTGTTTAATCATTCGCTTAATGACTTATCGAACGAGGATGTAGTCTGTGTATGTCTTTTATATTTGTTAAAGAAGGGGCTCAATGGGCGGTTGGCTAAATAACATGTTTTAGAGGAGTATTTTGCTTTGGTATCCGAACTTGATGAATTCAACAAATATCATGTCGTTAATATATAATTATAGATTATAATTTATTATCATTACTAATAGTTTTACAAATTTAATTGGGAATTTTTATGTCGTAGATATCCAAGGGGAGGTGGGGGTAATTTGGGATCAATTGTAATCACAACTATTGATTGTATTCACAACTATTGATTGTATTCAATAAGGTTGACAAACTTATACATCCAGTGGAACCAAAAGCAAAACAACATTAAATATAGATGTACACTGTAAACAGGCTTTTACACGCTTTTAAGGTAACGTACATGATTAACAATTTATTATAATTTTTTGTTTGTTAAATAATCTAATACATGATTCTTTTAGATATGGGTTCTTGAGAGTTTTTTTTGTGAGCATTTTGTATGGTACCAAAAAAGCGAATGTGATACATCGGGTTATTGCATGGTCGAAACTGAGGCATTTACATGCGACTGAGTGCAACCAGATTATAATAACCGATGATGTATGATTACTTATATATTTAATAATTTTCTTATATATATATATATATATATATATATATATATATATATATATACTATTATATAAAGCATTTTATACATTTCTTGAAATTTAAAAAGTACCACACCAATTACATCATTATTATATATATATTAAAGTTGTGAAAAGTTTTAACAGTAAACCTGAGACATTTTGGCCAATTTTGGTCCCTTAAATTACATTTCCGGTCCCTCTATTTTTGTTTGTGTGTCACTTTGTTGGTTTATATATTCCTGGGGTTCTCGATTCTTCTGATTTTTCTGCTTCATCCCCCTACCCACTTTCTCATCCACTAATATTCGGATGTGTTTCGCTTCCGTTTCAATAACAGAGAAGGATAGAGATGCAGCAACGATACCGCCGTCGTTTCTATCCTTCCCGACTCCACTGCCTCTTTATTTCACATATTCAACTTAGAGAAGGAAGTGGTGTCTCCATCTTTGGTTGTGGTTCTAGAACCCATTTTGCCTTAATCTCCATAAATCGAACGGCAACACCGCCACCATGTCACTTCGATTGGCTTTTATCTGTTCACGAAGGGTTTATTTTCGGATGCTTTATTCCAAAAATTCTCCTCTTTATGAAGATTAGGGCTTTGATCGAGAAAGTCGACGGATCAATTTTTAAGGGTCCTAATTAGGTATTTTCTTTCCCCAAAATTATCTCCTTTCTTGCAATCGTTTCACCATGCCTATATACACAAACCAGGTTTGCAAGTGGATATGTAATCAAATTTGTGTTGGCATATATTCATCCTTTTGCCAGCTTCTTCGTAACTTCTAAGTCCTATCTGAAATTTGCAGGTTTGTCATGTGTATTCTGGAAAATCGACACTTTCAGGAAGGTTGCTTCTGTTTTTTCTCAATCCTCTCGATCAGGGTATCGGAATGAGGGGACCATTCAGGAAGGCTGCTTCTGTTTTTCTCATCAAATCCTATTTGCTATGTACGATAATCATGAGGGGACCATTCAGTTACGATAATCTTTTGCTATCTCGATTTCTTTTTGCGTTTCTGCAGACAAAGATGGGTGAAGACTTATCTGGAAGAGACGGAATGAGGATTAGCAAAGTAACATTTCTATCTCTCAGTTACTTATTACATAGGAAAAATCGTAACCTAATTTTCTTTTTATATCCTATTTCCAACTGTCGTTTACTTTTAGGATAGGCAGATGATACATTATACTATTACAACAAATGTTTGGAGTCTGAGGAAATCATTTGTTTGCATAAGAGAATGACAATTGAAGCTGTGGATGGCCTGCAAAAGGCACAGGTAACTAACTACCTTTGATGCAGGTTTTCCAATTTGCGTCATTTAAACTAAATTCCCAAATTGACCTTGCCAGAAAGTCTCGGATTATTCAAAGCTGTCTGCAGAGGGAACTATCACTGAATGCATCAACCATTGCTTGATTCAGGTTTCGAAACCAAATAGTTTTAGGGATTATTTCAAACACCTTAATGTGATTCGTTTTCTTTTCTGGGATAATTAGGTTGGTTTTCATTTTTGATATGATTTTTTTTTCGACTTTGCGAATTGAAAGGTGACCTGATGTGGCTAACTTTTCTGCAGGATTTGATCAGGGATTCACTCAACGGATGCTAATACTTACCATGAAGAAGGTAGTTTGGTTTCCTTTGGTTTCTTAGGTACATTTAAATGCTAATAGTGATCATAAAGAAGAGACTTGTATTGGATGTTTTATTCATTCCGATCAGAATTGGTTGAAGCCTCTTCTTGGATGTGATGAACTGTAATGAGGAGTGGGTGAAAATGGAATCCAAATATGAAAAGTTGCTTATATAAGTGCCAACATAATTGAATGGTTACTCCTTACTACTTTATTTATTTTTTCGCAGATTACCATCTTACTTTTTTTCATTTCTGGTCCTAAAAAAATTTTCATTACATTTTTTGTGCCAAAAAGTTTGTCTTTTGAAATTATGGTCCTCATTTTAAGTTTCTGTAAGTTATTTTTTTTTTGTCTTCTAAGTAAAATAACGATATTACCCCTTTTTTAATATTTGTTATTTAATTACCTGATTTCAATAATAATAGAACTACATGATAAATAATAAAAATAATATCAAAAAGTTAAATAAAGGGTAATATAGTCATTTGCACATGGAAGAAGGACAAACATTATTATGATTCTCCAAAATAAGGAGCATATAGCAATATATGTTACAAAACCATTAATTTTGATGTGTTTGCATGTTCCTGTTATTATAGGCTTACTAGCCTACTACTTCAATCATTTGGGGCTTTTAGGTTAGTTTGGTCAAATATGAGCTTACTTTAATTTAGGTTAGTTTAATTTATAAATTTTTAACTTTTATTCAATATAATGATAGATTTGATTTTTTGAATAATCAACCCGACAAAATATAATGGAGTGTTGATAAAAATGTATATGTAGGCACAATTTGGGCAACAGCAGTTGCTACATCAATGGCTCACACAAGTGCTAAGAGAGTTGCACTTAAGCCTAGCCTTAGGCTTATTCATGCCACGTTTCTAATCTACAAATTATACAGTTTATATTGAAGCATTTAAACAATTTATATTTATCTCTGTGCTTATTTTTATATGTATTTGTTTTCTCCATCCTTAGGAATAGTGTCGGTTTGCCGGTCATTTTATCCCCACACCCGTAGGTAATTGAAGGTGATTGAAGCAGGGGACAAAAAATGTTTTGTTAAAACAAAAAACAAGAACAAATGAACAATAGCAAAAGATTTATGTTTGGGTTTGTAAAGAGTTTTTGTATTTGTTGAATTTACAATTTTAGATTGTTACTTTTTTGCTAATTACCATCACCGGTCTAGGCATCCATTCAGATACTGTTGTTACAATTTATAGTAAATAATCACATTGCATCAATCTCTTTTGTCTGGTACGCAACCACCCATTCAGTAAAATGTTTATCCTTTTTTTCTAATAGGTCCACTCAAACGTTGATTTTCACTTCACCATGTAATTGATATTCATGGTTTCATATCGATTTTCTGTTTGTAAACCGGTGTAGCAAACTAAATCTTAATAAATATTATTATATTTATAATAATTTTGGTTTTTGGTGTAGCAGGTGGCCCCGACAACATGGGATTGGATATATGCTTATGAACATCTTTTGGGGGCTTGGAACCGGTGGCTTCACAATGCCAAACAATTCAAATGGTAACTAACTTATTTACTTATTATTTAATCTGTCAAAATCATCATTCATAACTCACAAATAAACAAACTCATATATTTTTCGTTTTTTATTAATAAAATAAAAAACGTTGTGCCTCCGGAAGAATTGTATGCTACACAGCTGGCACAGCTACAAGAAATGGGATTCTTTGACACACGTGAGAATCGTCAAGCACTGACAGCCACTGCAGGTAATGTTCATGCTGCATCTGAGAGTCTATTTGGAATTTTGGGTTAATGTCAGATATGGAATACTGATTATGTAATTGATGTCTTTTAGTTTATCATTTAATTGTAATATCACATTTTAGTGTATGATTTATATGGGTGTTTTTCCCTAGAGGAAGAAGAGCAATGTATTTGCAAACTTGCAGGTAAGGCATTACATGCAATTGTTCTTCCTTTCATTGCCTGCAATTGTGTCCGTTTGTATCTTTCTACATTTGTTTTTTTTTTGTGGGACATCTTTTTTCCATGTGCATTCGTAATACTTTGATTACACATATTTCCCTTTTTGTTGATCGTAATTGTTGAGGTTGGTTATGCAGTTTTTAAGGTGCCTTCTATTTTTGAAGATACACATCTTGGTGGTTAATAGTAACGGAAAAAATTGTCGCATCACATATTTCCCTTTTTGTTGATCGTAATGTTGAGGTTGGTTATGCAGTTTTTAAGGTGCCTTCTATTTTTGAAGATACACATCTTGGTGGTTAATAGTAACGGAAAAAATTGTCGCATCCGACCCCCGCAACGCGGAGGTCCTCACCTAGTGTATAATCAATTTATGTTTACCATTCAATAAACATATTTTAGGTAGATTGTGTTAAAAATTCAATTTTCTTTTTAATTTTAAGTAATATCTTAGACTTACTTAGATGAAATCCAAATAATGATTGTTTAATACATTATCATTTTATATAGATAAATAAAACAATAAACTTTTATTTTTACCTAAAATATCAAAATATTGATACAATAACTAGAGATGTAACTAACTTACATAAAAATTAATATCTAAAATCCCACCGTGATTTATTTGGTTCTAAAAAAACCAAATGTTTAAGTTTGGTTTAATTTCTTTATATATAAACCAATATAAATCAAGATACGGAAACCTCATGTTAAAAAAAATGTATAAATTCAATTTATCGTTATTTAATTTTGTTAAATCTTAAAATATATATATTTTTTTAAACGGTAAACGAATTAAGTGGAAGCCTACTCGTAATATTTCAACGAGCACCCCGGATTCAAGCTTCTTGACAGGGCAAACCCAGCCACCATAGGGATTTCCAGGGAAAAATTCTCCATATATGGCACCACAAGAGGTAGTTAAAGGAAATCATTTGTTTGTTTTTTGTTAACATTTTCGTAACAAGGTCACTTTACGAAATTATATATATATTTTTACAAAAAACGTATTTTCTTTATAACAAAAAAACATATTTAATGTATTAAACCAAAAACACTGTTGTTGAAAGAAACTCAATCTTCAAATTGTCGAAATGAAAACTAATCGCCACCACTGCATTTCAAATTGCGATAAAATCAACAAATCTTAGGGAGAAACAAATTCAAATGTAGGTATTTATCTTTCAGAACCAGTATTTTTACATGACCAATTTTTTGTTGTATTGTCTAGAGGGATCTCACATGACAGTATAAAAATGTTAGTGAAAAGTGAAAACTAACGAAAAATTCAAAGGTGATGAAGTCGATACATCAAATATGGTGTAAAAGAAGTGTTTGCGATTTACAATGTATAATATGTCATGTGTTATTACATTGAAAGTTTTCCGAAACAAATTATCCGCCGACTTTTATATGCTGAAAGGAAATTATCTCTGTCGCCGCTTTGCGCGGGTACACGACTAGTATGTATGTATATATATAATTTATGTTTATTTATAATTTTATAATTTTGTTAGCATGATAATAGACTTGTACAGAAGCTAGAGCCGACCAAAACTGAGAGCCATGCTAAATGGTGGATAATTAGCTCGGCGTGGATTGATTGCCCTGATTTTCCTGACACGGACGTTCAGAGGGCACCTTCCCTAACACCATCAACCAAACACTCCCCTACCGATGAGCCTCGACAAAAGAATGTCACATAGATGTTGCATCTCACCGGTCACCACCACCATCCCCGCCCACTGTACCACCTACCGGTAAGGACCAAATTATTTCTAAGTTGCAAAACAAGGTCCGTGAATTGCAAAATGAGGTCATTCAATGTCGCGAGAAGTTAAGGTTACGGGATAAACGTTTTAGCAGAGCATGACACTACTTTAGCCATGCTTCTAAAACTTATTAATAAGACTCCTGAAGATGATGTTGGTACCTCAAAGGCAGTGGAGGTACATTGTTACCTATTTTACTCCCATATAATATTTAGTTAACTTTATGGTCCTTATGTTTTTGCATCGTTTATAATTAAAAACTATTAATATAACATCCGGAATCTAAAATGTCATTTATGGAAATAAATTCCCTTTTTAGGGGCCAACTCGTCGAGTTTATGGCATAAACTCGACGAGTTGGAAGCTTTTGGGGCACGTGTTTTTAAGGACCAACTCGCCGAGTTGGTGAAGGGAACTCCATGAGTTGGGCGTTGTTTGAGAAACCCTAATTTTTGGGTTTTGCACCCTATTTAAACACCTTAAGTTCTGGTGGTGGCCTCATTCCCAGCCTCGATAGCCCCTAACCCTAATCTCGAAACCCTAGAGCCTCCTTGAGTGTTGTGAGCTCATTGTGGATGTGTTTTGGTGTGTTGGAAGCTCATTAAAGGGAAGAAAAGGTTGGTTCAAGGTGGTGGTTCAAGTAGGACCTTTCAGATCTTGATTCTCTGCTCCATTTCCAGCACATTTTGGGTATAAAGTTCTAACCTTGCTTAATATTTTCTTAGATCTCTTCTTTGGTTCAACTGCATGCTTTTAGCCATAGATGGGTGATTGTTGGGGAAGTAGAAGTCCCAAGTGTGTATTCTTTCAGATCTATGATCTTCATGAGTTCTTTTGGCATAAAGGTGCCAACTTTATGGTCTTAAGGGCTTCATGCATCTATTAAGCTCTTCTTTTGGTCTCTTATGAGCTTTTGAGCCTCCCCTAGCCATACATGAGTGTAAAGTTGGAAGCTTTATGTGACCATGCAGCCTTAAAGGACCAGATCTATATTTTGGGGCCTTGTCTTGGTGATTAAGTGATTATTGATTAAGCCATTAACCTTTTAAGCCTAGGGTTTGGGTTTTGAGCCCACTTGGATGGTCCCTAGGGGTAAAGTTGGAAACTTTACCCTTCTAGACGCTATTTCAGTTAAGATCCGAGTGGGGAAGCTGTTAGTTTTGATTACGTCGGCTTAATGGATTAAGATGTTTGGTTCCTGATGAACTCGGCGAGTTTTAGGGTGAACTCAGTGAGTTGGATCGATTTTTTAGTCTGATGAAGGAAACTCGACAAGTTGGGTCAACTTAGACCGTTGACTTTGACTTTTGGCTTATGTCTTCGATCATGTTTGTCCCAAGGGGTGTTTGTGGTAACCTGATTTGTATTTAAGGAAAATATGTGCTTAGGATAAGACCCGTATGGGGTTGGGCCCAAATCAGAAAATTGGGCCATTAGTGGGCCTTTGTAGGTCTTTTGGTTTTGGGCCTTAGTTTTGGTTCATGTTGGGTCAGGGGTAAAATGGTCATTCTACCCCCAAGTAAGGATTATGGATTATAGCATGGAACCCAATTGCTAATTGGGTATGTTGTTAGTATTGATAGCTCGGGAAGCCGGTAGGGCGGCGGCCAGGGATTTTCCTTCTGGGAGCTTCTGCATTCGAGGTGAGTTTTCCTCACTGTATTTGTGGGTCGAAGGCACCAATGCCGACCCTTTTGGATTGTTATCCTGGTTTATTGTATGCTTGTATGTTGTAGGGATCTGTTAGATCAATATCCTGGTAGATAGGATGTTTCCATGATGTAGTGATCTGTTAGGTCGGTATCCTGGTAGATAGATGATGCTATGGCAAGTGATCTGTTAGATCTTCTTGTTATCTCATCTGGCTATATGTTTACCAGTCGCTTGTGCATGAGTAGTGTGGTTGGGTTGAGACTGTATTGCTTTGTGCTGCCAGTCAACAAACCCTGAGATATTTATATTGGTATGTTATATGCATGCTTATTTGTTATGTGTATGACGACATGGTTGTATGTGTGGTTGGGTTGAGGCGGACCTGCTTAGTACGGAAGCCCAACAGACCTAGGTTGTCCTAGATAGACTGAAGGCCAGTAGGGTGAACCAGTCAGGCCGAAGGCCCGGAGAACGATCCAGACAGGCTGAAGGCCCGGTGAGGCGGTCCAGATATGTTGAAGGTTCTGTGAGCGGTCCATACATGATGAAGGCTCTGTATGTACGCTGTTTGCTGTTATGATTATGTGTTGTGGCGGTGTTTTGGGGGAACTCACTAAGCTTCATGCTTACAGTTTTAGTTTATGGTTTCAGGTACTTCAACGGATCTTGTGTGATGACCCGAAATTTTTGTCTTGTACTGTTATTCAAATCAATCAAAGTTAGACTCATTTCTGCTACTTTTTAACAGTATTTTGAGTCAAATTGAGTGTTCTAAACCTAGTATCTTCAAGTTAGAGTTTAGATTTGGGTTCTGCGAGTTCACCCGACACAAAATAAGGCCAAACACTCCAACATAAGGAGTGTACGGCCGTACACTTGGGTGTGCGGCCGCACACCCCTCCTCTGGCAGCACACTCACGACCATATAGTGTAGACATGACCTTCATTCAATCCTTTTCACTCTTCTAGACTAGAACTCGTTTTCTCTCAAGTAGCATCCAAATTTGCAACTAGATCTTCAATTGGTAAGTGTTTCTATCCTTTGAATTGTTGATTCCTTACTCCATCTAGCTTAGATCACTGATTTCATCCATGAAATCACTCCATTTTTGGTAGATCTTCAAGTGTTCTTCAGTTGCACCAAGAACACCAAGAACACTTACTAAGTTCTTGAGCTCCAAACACCCCTATACGCTTCTATATCGTAAGTACCCTACTCCTACATGTTATTAACTATATTTGAGCCTTAGAAAATGTCCATAACTCAATCTTCAAGGAGTGTGCGGCCGCACATACTCATGTGGCCGTACACCCCTTTTTCTTTAGTGCATAAGGGCCTCAAACTCCAATTGTAAGCTACCACATGATCAAAGACACTTAGGGGATACAAGATGTGACCTTAGAAAAAACGTTTTTGACCATTTTCCCTAGGTGTGTGCGACCGCACACTCCATGGCCGCACACACAGGTCCGCACACCCAAAGGGCAACACACTTGGTGGCCGCACACGTCCGTGTACGACCATACACCCATTTCAGTCCACTTTTGATGCTTCTAACACTTAAATCTAAGTGTTTTCTAAGTCCTAGGGTGTTTTCCTTTCATGATTAGTGGTATATAGACTAATTATATTCATATATGTGCTAATATATTCTCATCAGGATCCATTGTGTTCAAGACTACACTTGACACTTAGCATCCTTCACCAACTTACATTTGAGTAACTTACTACAGGTGAGTTCATACCCCCGTATTTTCA